TGAATTCCTTTACAGTTCAAAATTTCAGTATTGTTTTTTGTCCAAGATAACCACCCTATTCAACTAAGATATTTATCAAATACCTGTATCTTTAAATATGAAGAAAGCACAGTTTAATCAGCAAACCAGCAATGATAGACACTGCTGGATTGTCTTGAATAGACAGGCTTGGTATGAAATTAATATCTCTGAAAGATCTTGCAGAATTTTTTTTTCATCATTATTATTTATTTTTAAGAAGAGAAGTGGTCTCAATGAAAATAAAGACTGTGGACAGTGAATGTATTTATCTTAAAAATATCAGCAAGTTCATGGACTTTCACTTCCCAAATGACTCCGTCCAGCCAGTGCTTCAAACAAAAAGGACCTTTGTTTAAAAAAAGCTATTTTTATTCTATTCCCATACCTGTCAGCAGATGTAGCTCCATGGACTCCCTTGCACTTGTTTTACAGTAGCTCTATTGATCTGCTTAATAACTAGTCCCAAGGAACTGCACTGTTAAATCCTCTAGAAACAAAATCTCTCTGAACAGGTCAGCTATTAGGAAAAATGAGAATGTTCATAACTAGGTATTCTCTCTCCTCAACATCTTTAGAAGCAGAGAAACTACCATGACAAAAGTGAGTTAAACCCCTTAACATAGTAAATGAATTAACATATACGTGTCTTGTTTTGTTTTCTAAGACTCCTGCTACATTTCTTAAGTAAATACCTGGAAACCAGTACATAGTTGAAAAGCAAATGATACATAAATAATATATTCAATTAATATATACACAAACATGCAAACTAACTCATTCAAAAGGAAAAGACTAACTTAACATTGCAGTCACTGTAATACATGGTACAGAATTAACAGACAGCCTTAGCTTTTATTTTGATATTGTATTTTTGGCTTTTTTGATACTCTGTGGAATACACAAGCGTGCAATAGCAGCCATGGTGCAAGCTAGATGACTCTGGGTGCTGCTTATACATAAACTAGCTAGATACAGCTCCTCCAAGATCCTTACAGATTCTTGTCCAGCCAAGAATCAGCATAGCACAACTGGGCTTCCTTCCACAAATATTTATGCCCCTGCCATGCTGCTTTTACACCAGTGGAACGCTGGCAGTGCAGTAACTCACAGCTACCTATGTATCAGTCAGATTTTGGCTCCTTGGTGCTACCAGGATTGTGCAAAGGAGCTAGCTCAGAGAAGAAACCTACTGTGTAATCACGTAATCAAAACAAAAAGGATTGGCTATCTTTCTTTCCATGTTCTCAAAGCACTAAGAGTGAACAAAGTTAGCTGGTAAGGAATTTAAAAAATAAATTAAGAAATCAGCAGAGTGATGTACCAACATGTCATCTTAAGACTTACAGCACAGCATGCTCCACTTACTGTCAGAACAGCTGTGTGTGAAAATAGATAATAGATCTTTAAAACTTACTGCACCATAGCCTCAAGACTTCTGACTGGGGTTTCAATCTTTACTTTTCTAAATCACATAAGGACTTCTCCAACCTCAGAGAGATTACATATACATGCTTAGGTTTATATGGTCAAACAAAGCAACAGCAAGTTCCCGCTCTAAAAACAGGACCTTTGAACACCTATTTTGAATCACACTGGCATAAGCTTTAATAAATTCACATTCAGAGCTTTACATGGTAGACAGTCACATATTACAAGCAGAGTCTGTAGGAGTACAAAGTTATGGCACAAAACTCTTCAAATGCTATCTTAAGGGACTGTTACTAAAGCCCCACCATCTCCTGGGCAGAAGACCTACACATATTTTGGCTCATACTATCAAATCTGATTTTAATGTCACAAAGACTACTCAGGGATATCTTTTTTCAGGAAGAACATGATATTATCAGATTAATGTCATATATTTGCAAAAGCCTATACTATATAGTACGAATAAAGATTATTTGTTAAAACCAAGATATAAGAAGATCAAACGTGTTGCATACTTCGCAATGCAAGTAGCTAAAAAAACCCCCCACACACATAAAGAGGGTTTCATTTTTGTTTTTATGAAAAGGAAGCAGGAAATTAAAAATAAAACCCAATTTCTGTCATTATTTTCTAGGCAGGCCCAGAGACAAAGTGATTATCTGACCTGGTAAAGCATCTGAGACAGTGAAATTGTTTTGGACTACTTCTCTAGTCCTCTGGGATGCTCTTTTGTCCTCCTGTCAACCCTCCTCTGTGGCTCTGTTTCTCCAGCCCAAGCAAATACAGAAAACAAGAAAGAAACAAATTCCAGTTTCTGCTTCTCTATAACCTTGAAGGAGTTGGTTTTGATCTCTGTCTCATTCCAAAGGAAAACAGAAAAAGCAAGAAGTACATTCATGCTCCTTAAGAAGAACAAGGCAGGCTCTGGGCCATGTTTGAAGCCTGAAGGAACTCTTTTATCCACTGTCAATAAGAATTGTGCATACCTATTTTCATTTGAATCTTCTTATAAAAGCTGAAAGCAAAAAGGTGAATACTGAAGTCTGCAATCAGGTCACATAAGCTGCTAAATAGTTAGACCACTGTCTAGAGTTCTAGGAAGATTTTGCATCGCATTGTGCTAATCACTAAGGATAAAGACAGTAAATAATTATTAATCTCCTCTGCTTATAGAGCAAAGACAGCTATTTCTTTAAAGATTAGTTTTCCAATAGAAATCTAAAATAATCCCTGCGGAACAAGTAGATGGATTAAACTCAATTTCTTTTGTAGTTTAGTGGCATGTTCTTACTTGCACAACCACTCAAAAAGCAAGTGTATTGGGTGATTTGACTCCATGGGCTAAAGGCCCTGTAAAACACACAGAAACTTTGCTTTGATTTCTAATAAAATACTGAAGAATGTCACTTGTTCAAAACTCCTAGGAGCTTAACAAGATTTCAAAAAAGTATTCCAGAAGATGACCTTACATACAGCTTTCTCCTCCTTTACTCTGCTGCAATCAAATGATTCGCTTTCCTGCAAAGCTCTAGTACATAGCGAGGGTCTGCAGCATATTGCCGAGGTCAGCACAGCCTCCCAGCCCAAAGCTGCAGGTGGCCTCCACAACATGAAGGTGCTCCCTGAGAATTTTCTAGCTCTATCTATTTGCCAGTTAAAATCAAGAGGGAAATCAATGAACTTCATTGTATGTTAAAGAAATAAGTTCAGGTTCTTTCATAAGCATGAATCTTTCACACATAATATGAATATGTTTTAGTGGCAATAACCAAACACATTAACATATCAGAAAAAAAGCACCATATGTAAATTCCCTGATCTGAGGGGACAACCAATAGATTACATTCCATCATATAAACATGCAAGATTTATATTTGCCTCTAGAGATATTCCAAAACCCTATTACTGAGCCATATCTCTGAGGAGGGGGTTTGTTTGTTTTCAATCAAACCTCTTTCTAATTAGTCAGAACAAAATGTTTTCATGCAGGAAAAGGAAGAAATTCAATGCAAAAACAACAGAGTCCTGATGGAACAGGAGAACTTGGAAGAGAAAATGAAGATGGCATAAAAATGCAGGAAACAAAGATGTGTACTCTTTGAGTGCCTTTATTACACAGATGTATGCAGGGACAGTTTGCTCCCAAAGGAAATCATTAGAGAGATGACTTTTAAGAAGCTGGACCAGGAGACTGAATTCAGCCTTTTGGACTGATCCAAACTTCAACAACTGTGTTTTGCTATTAATTCGGGTGGGCTTTTGACTATGGCTTCAGACCCATTTTGTGTTTTCCCCTTTTAGAGCCGATTTCCGCTCAGCTACAGACATGCGAGTCCTGTGGAGAGGAACCTGAACACGCACATATGTACCTGTCTGCAGAATTCATCTGGCACTGGCTGCTTCCCAAATCCACCGCTCTCTCCCCTCTGCAAGCCCTTACAGACTCCTCAGTCAATTCAGGTATATGAGAGAGATAATCTTAAGGGCACAAATGATTCATATTCTCACTGTGATTCAACAACCACATTGAAGTAGTCAAGCCCCATTTTTAAATGCTTTATAGCATCTTAAGTGCTTCACTGAAATTGTCAGGCACGTGGCTTAAGGACAAGGATGTGCCTTTGTACTCAGCCCAAGTAAGACCCTGCAGGGTTTCACAAAAACAAACAAACAGCTTTATCACAATGTTATCAGCCCACTTCAAATGTTTCATTCTGACCCTGCTTGTCTTTAAACAACATTCCACCGCTGAATCCTAGCCAGCTTTAGTATAAAAGGAAGAGAGTCAAGCTCAAGAAGGATGAAGATACCACAGCTTCACCAGAGTGAATAATCCACACCTGCAACACGTCTTGTAATTTAAGCTCATGACACCACAGTCCTCAACAGCAACTCCAATTCCGCCTCTCAAAATTAGAAATCTATTTTCAAGTCACTGAAAAAATGCTGGAACTTCAAAGCCAAGCCGTTCTTTTGGCACCAAGATGCCCCACAGGTCCCTGAAGTTAGCAGAACTCTCTAACATTAGAGTTTCTCAACGTAAGAGAAAATACAGGCTGCCAGCTGAGATTTGGAGATGTGCATTCACAGAAGAATATATAACAAGGAGTGAGAAAAGCATACAAGCATTTTAGTCAAAAGCCCTTTCTGGTAAGCATTCAGATCAACCTGAAAATGCACTGTTTTATGTTAACTTGTAAAGGAATCAGCACTTCATTTATGAGAATATTTGTCTTAGATAAGGTGAACATCAACTGATCAATATAGCACCAATGTAGGTATATATTACTCTATCAATCATATATTAAAAAGAGCGGCAGCGTTTTATGTTTAGTACCCAATGTAACCAATTAGTACTGCCATCCCCTGATGTTACACAAGTTCGTTCCCTTAAATTGCCATGGCAGTAAATTCTACAGTTATAAATGAGAAGCTGCAAATTGATTTGCATGTAATAACAGTACCACTAAACCTTTCTTACCACTTTCAATTTTTCCCATCTGCTATCAGAGTGGAAGTTTAGGATCTATTATTCCCAGAAGGGGACTTACCCAGCTGGACATCTATAACAGTTGGCTGGTTCTCCATGGGGAACAATGGCTTTGGAGGTTTGTCTGTAAGTAAAGCTAGAAAAGAAAATGAGAAAATGTAATGGAAAAATTGAGACCGATGACTGCAGAAGAAAAGCTCTGTCATGTAAGCAATCAAATGTTTGTACACTTGATGGCACGTAAACATTTATTATATAATAGGGCTGTTACATTGCCAATGTGTTACTGCTTTCCTAGCAGCCGTGGTGGCCCACTGATTCAATGCAAATGAGCTATTCCAAGAATTATATTTTTATTACAAAGCGGCAAAACAAACTCAATTTCTGACTTTTAATCTACATATAATAACTAGATTCAGCATTTTAGATCCTCACCTTGCAAAGTTAACACACTTAATTTGAAATGCCAACCAAATCTGTTTCAGTGTGACCAGTCCCAACATATCTTTATACTTGCCCAAAACAGTATTTAGATGCTCAAAGAAAACTTCCACATAATTTTGCCTGATGAACCCCAGCAGCTTCCCATCTAGCTTACACTCCCACCGAACCGGGTGAGGGACTTGGACCCTCTTCTCAAAGCCCAGGTGGGGACCCGGCCTTCTGCTATACAGAAGTATCTCCACCTGAGAGCAGGAAACATTACCTCAGCCTGGTCCTACCAGGTGACTGCTCCAGCCACTAGGACAGACGGGCACAGATAATATTACTACTGAAAAGTACAGCTACAGACACAGGCTTCATGACCAGCTTTGAGAGCTTAGTGCCAGACTATGCAGATAGGTTTTGTAAGATGGGCTAGCTTGAAATAAGTGACTGAGTATTCCTGGAGATGGGGAGAACTGTTTTTAATAAAATACAGCATCTTACACCACATGAAATTAAACATTTCAAAATTACTTCAGTGCTTTTCCAGTTGAAATTCATCACCTGAAATTATTTGATCTGAGTTTGTAAAATGAATTTGTGTTTTTCAATAAAAGACTAAGGCAAAATTGCCCGATCTCCCCAGAAGCCTTTGCACTTACTGAGTTGACAGGAAACAAGTCTACCCAGTGGTTTTGTAGCTTAAGCTGAAAGTTGCCCACGGCTGGGGCAGCAGATCTCCCTGAACCAAGCAGAGGCAGCTGGAGTTCTGCAAGCTCCTGACACCCTCCCAGTTCAGCCCGAGCCACTGGCCGGCCGGGAGGACCTCTCTCCCCCACGTAGC